TGCATTTGCAGGCAGATTGTTAAGTGCTAATTAAGGCCCTTCTATTGTTCTATTTGATAGTGTCTGTTGATTTTCATTAATGTTTGGTTTATAACTACAAATTGCTGAAATGCCAAGATTTTTCAAGCTTTAGGAAGGGTTTTTTTGTTTTAATTATTTCTATTTTAAATTTTAAGAAAAGGAAAAGATTCTGTGAAGTTTTTTCTAAAAATATTCTTCTCAATGATTTGAATGCATATTACATTTTTAAATGTTTGGCTATTTGAATTTAAAGTCCTAGACTTAAAAAAAAAATAAAACTAAAACATTTTCTCTTCTGAAAATAAGAACATTTTGTATATATTTGCTCTTAAATTGTGTGCCCACACACGTGTATATGTGTGTGTGTGAGAGAGATTTTGAATCGCAAACCGTTTATGGACACATATGTACAGGCGTACCTTGTTTTATTGTACTTTGCTATTGCGCTTTGCAGATGTTGCAATTTTTACGAATTGAAGCTTTGTGGCAACCCTGCATCGAGCAAGTTTTTTCGTTTCATTTTTCCAACAGCGTTTGCTCACTTCATGTCTCTGTGTCACATTTTAGTAATTCTCACAATATTTCAAACTTTTTATACTTGTTATAGTCATCTGTGATCAGTGATCTTTGTTACTGTTGTCATTGTTTTGGGGGCGCCACGAACTGCACCCATATACAATGGCAAACTTAATTGATCAATGTTGTGTATGTTCTGACTGCTCCACCTACTGGCTGTTCCCCCACCTATCTCCCTCTCCTCAGGCCTCCCTATTCCCTGAGACACAAGAATATTGAAATTAGGCCAATTAATAACCCTCCAGTGACCTCTAAATGTTCAAGTGAAAGGAAGAGTCACATGTCTCGCTTTAAATCAAAAGCTAGAAATGATTAAGCTTAGTGAGGAAGGCCTGTTGAAAGCTGAGATAGGCTGAAAGCTAGACCTCTTGTACTAGTTAGCCAAGTTGTGAATGCAAAGGAAAAGTTCTTGAAGGAAATTAAAAGTGCTACCCCAGTGAACACACGAATGATAAGAAAGCAAAACAGCCTTAGTCCTGATATGGAGAAAGTTTTAGTGGTCTGGATAGAAGATCAAACCAGCCACAACGTTCCCTTAAGCCAAAGCCTAATCCAGAGCAAGGCTGTAACTCTCCTCAATTCTGTGAGGCTGAGAGAGGTGAGGAAGCTGCAGAAGCAAAGTTTGAAGCTAGCAGAGGTTGGTTCATGAGATTTAAGGAAAGAAGCCGTCTCCGTAACAAAAGTGCAGGGTGAAGCAGCAAATGCTAAGGTAGAAGCTGCAGCAAGTTATCCAGAAGATCGAGCTAAGGTGGTGAAAGTGGCTACATTGAGCAACATATTTTCAGTGTAGACAAAACAGCTTTATAGTGGAAGAAAGTGCCATCTAGGACTTTCATAGCTGGAGAGGAGAAGTCAATGCCTGGCTTCAAAGCTGCAAAGGACAGGCTGACTCTCTTGTTAGAGGCTAATGCAGCTTGTGACTTTAAGTTGAAGCCACTGCTCATTTATCCTTCCAAAAATCCTAGGGCCCTTAGGAATTATGCTAAATCTACTCTGCCTGTGCTCTCTAAATGAAACAACAAAGCCTGGATGACAGCACATCTCTTTGCAACATGGTTTACTGAATATTGTAAGCCCACTGTTGAGAACTACTGCTCAGAAAAAAAGATTTCAAAGTATTATTGTTCATTGACAATACACCTGGTCACCCAAGAGCTCTGATGGAGATGTACAATGAGATTAATGTTGTTTTTGTGCCTGCTAACACAACATTCTGCAGCCCATGGGTCAAGGGGTAATCTCAACTTTCAAGTCTTATTATTTAAGAAATACATTTTGTAAGGCTATAGCTGTCATAGTGATTCCTCTGATGGATGTGGGCAAAGTAAATTGAAAACCTTCTGGAAAGGATTCACCATTCTAGACGCCATTAAAAACATTTGTGCTTCCACTTTGTGTTTAGTTGTGATGTCTCTTTGATCTCCTTTAATCTACAATAGTTCTCCACCTTTTTTTTTTTTGTCTTTCATAACATTGACATTTTTTAAGAATCAGGACAATTATTTTGCCAAATGTCAATCAAGCTAGATATCTCTGATGGTTTCTTCATGAATACATCTAGGTTAAAAAGTTGGCAGGATACTACAGTGTTAATCTGTGTCCTTTCCTATCAGGGGATCTGCCATAAAGGGGGAACTCAACAGGCTTGGTTGCTCAAACTCTGCACATTCTAAAGAAAGGATTAGACCTTGACCTGCTCCTGAGAGAGAACTTCTGAGCCCTGGGAATATCCTGCCTGAAAAGGTGTTTTTGTTTGCCTTAGGCCTTGGAGTATCCTGTATCAGTTTGAGCAGATAATTTATGCTAACAGTTCAAGTGAATACCTGTTTTTATAAGTCTGAGGCCCTGGAACATGCTACTATACCAGTGTGACCTCCAGGGGCTGGAGACTGGGAACCTAAGGTCAGTCACATGGTGCTACCTGCCTGTGTGACTGACCCCTAATAAAACCCTGGACACCATGGCTTGGGTCAGCTTCTTCAGTTGGCAACACTTCACACGTATTGACCCACATAGTTACCGTGAGAATTAAGCACTGTCATGTGACTCCACTGGGAGGACAACTGGAAACTTACTCCTAGTTTCTCCTGGGCCTCACCCCATGCTCATTCTCAGTCTGCTGACTTTAATCTATATCCTTTTGCTACAATAAACTGTAGCTGTGAGAACAACAACAAAAAACATTTGTGCTTCATAGGAAGAGGTCAAAATATCAACATTAACAGAAGTTTGGAAGAAGTTGATTCCAACCCTCGTGGATGACTTTGAGGAGTTCAAGACTTCAGTGGAGGAAGTAACTGCAGATGTGTGGAAATAGCAAGAGAATTAGAATTAGAAGTGGAACCTGAAGATGTAATTGAATTGCTGCAATCTCTTGATAAAACTTTAATGGATGAGGAGTTACTTCTTATGGATAAGCAAAGAAAGTGGTTTCTTGAGATGGAATCTACTCCTGGTGAAGTTGCTGTGAAGACTGTTGGAATGACAACAAAGGATTTAGAATATTACATAAACTTAGCTTATAAAGCAGCGACAAGGTTTGAGAGGATTGACTCAAATTTTGAAAGAAGTTCTCTTGTAGGTAAAATGCTATCAAACAGCACTGCATGCCATAGAGAAATCCGTGAAAGGTTACAAAGCAAAGTTAGCAAAGGGAAAAGGCACATGAGGTGACACCCAGAAGAAACCAGGCCAAGCTTCCAAGAGTGCTTTCCGAGAAGAGTCATCCAGGATGTGCTTAATTACTCCAGCAACAAATTGTGACAACACGTATGAAATGTCTACCAGGGAAGCTCATTAGATGCTCCATGCCCAAGGTTTCTATTGGAGGTTGATCATGTAGGTATCCTCTGCTTAGCATGTACTAAAATTCCAAACTCCCAGAAGGAAAGCAAGTGTTCACCATAAACCATATTGTTTATAATATGGTTTATAACAGTTTAGGCCCAGTGAGCCACTCATCAATTAGGTTGTTGGGAACATACCCGAAATCCAAGTTGCCAGATGCCAGCCAAGGGCTAACCTTGCGAACAGGACATTTTAAGGATAGCAGTCTCAGGCCTGCTATGTTAACTCTTTTTTGCACAATATTCTTTAAAGAGGAAAAAAAGATGTTAGGTAGTTTTAACCTTTATTTAGGAGTAGTTATTCATTCAAGCCTGCCATTCTAGTAATTAATACAAACCCTCTGTGAAAGTTGAGACATTTTTACCTTGAGATAGATGTGTAATGCCCTGTCCATTTTATTGGTAGTATCTAGTGGCTATAAGCCACATTAGGGCTTACCCAATTACCCAATGTATTTTCCAGCAATAAAATTGCTTTTTTCTACCCAAATGCTGCTGCCATGATATTTTGATGATATTACTGTACGAGTTTAGAGGCCTCATATTTTTTTGGTAATTTGTTTGCCAATTTTTATTACTTTCATGCTACTTTAATAGCTTTCTAGAAAACACATGAGGATAGTAAATTTGTCGTTCATGTTTCAACCTGGAAGTGAGTTACAGCTTGTAAGTAAAATCTTTATAGTCCATATCCATAACTTCAATACTACTTGAGCTTTTGATGTTGATATTTTAATGTTATTTATTAACCTTGCACTTTGGAGCCTGGAAAATGGTTAACAACTGTGTTGTGAACACAGACTCCTAGAGCTGGTAGAGCCTTTAATAAGCCATCCACCTCTGGTCCTGCCTCTAGTGGGTGTAGAGCTAAACCAGCCAAGATGGATGGTGCAAAAACACTCCAGAAGTGAGTGCTCCACACAGTTCTCAGGAGCCCAGGTTGGAGTGCAATTAAGCAAACTATCCAGAAGGTCTTTCTAGATCACCTATTTTACAGTCGTCTTTTGCAGATTTAGAGAACAGTTTAAAAAATCTTTCATTTAAACAACTGCTAAATCGTCCTTTGGCCTTTTCTTTGCCAGACTGAACCATCCTACTTTGTTCAACCTTTCTCAGAGAAGTTGCAGGAATAATAATTTGACATTTTTTTAAAAAAGAGGAAATGCTAGCTTAGTCTAAACCAGGCATTCTTAACCTAAGGGTCTGTGAACTTGGATGGAAGAAAAAATTACTCATTATTTTCTCTAACCTCTACCAGAAATTCAGCATTTTCCTCCATTACTATATCACAAATTAATTTTTAAAAAATATTTGGATACCTATTTCAATGTAATACTTTCTTTTGTAATCCCATGTATTTATTTTACTTTGTGCATTTAGAAACATTTTGAGAAGGGGCCTGAGGCAAAAAAAGAAAAGAAAATTTACACTCTGATGAGGCCAGCTGGTTAACCTTTAAGTGAGAATTCTGGGGATTGTGTTTTGTTTCTTCTCCTCCTTATTGAAGGTAACAGTGACTAGTGACGTAGTTCGTTTAATGTACTGTTGTGCTTTTAGGTTTATGTACAAGTTAACAAAGAAGCAGCAGATGATAAGAGTGTAGCAAGATCAGCGCGTGAGTTCTTCCAGCGACTGGAACTGGGAGACACGCAAGCACTTGCACTATGGCAAAAGTTTCGGGACTTGAGCATAGAAGAGTACATTCGGATTTACAAGGTACCTGTCCACTCTCCCTTCTGCTCTCCTGCCACGTGGTGAGCTCTTGACTGGTACTAGTGGGTAGTAAAGCTGCTTATTCAGCTCATGTTTTTAGAACAGATTTGTTATTAAGTTGAAAATTAGGACTCAAATATTGTTCTTTGGGCTGAAAGAGCTATAAAATAATCCTGAATCCTGTGGATTTCACAGGCTATCGGGACATTCTGATACTTCATTTCGGTCTGGCTTTTCTATCATTCCTTCACTTTTTCTAAATCCTTTTTTCTTTCGCTTCCTTGGGCCTATGTGTGATGTGTATAAATTCATTCACTTAATGAATATTTTAGGGGGTCGGGGGGAATACAACAGAATAAAAGATAAAAGTCTTACTCTCATGGACTTTGCATTCTAGCATGGAGACAGGGAGTGAATTAAAGACAGAGAAAATTAAATAAGAACATATGTAGGCTGTTAGATGGTGATGATGCTATGGAGAAAAATGAAGCTGGGAAGGGGAGATCAGATGTGCTGTCTGTGAGTAGAATGAGGAGAGTTTCAGTCAAGAAGCCCATGCAGCTGGAGTAGGTAAGCAAGAGGAGGAACAGTAGGAGAGGTTGAAGAGGTTGTGGGGTGGGGTGTTCTTCAGGGCTCTCCAGTCTAGCTTCCTGCTCTGATGGAAATGTTCTGTAGCTTGTTGACCAATATGGTAGCCACCAGTCACATGTAGCTATTGAGCACTTGAAGTGAGTAGTGTGGCTGAGAAACTAAATTTTCAGTTTTATTTAATTTGAATTTGAACAGCCACATGTGCCTGGCAACCACTATATTATACAGCACAGTACCATTGTGAGGACTTGACGGTTGTGGGGGGAGCTGTTGGAAGGTTAAACAGAGGAGTGACTTGATCTAATTTTTATTTATCCTATCTATGTGACAGACTGTAGAACATTCTGTTTTGCCTTAGGGTTAGATAATAGGACATTTAAATAACCTTTTTTTCTTTTGTTTCTGAACCCTTTTAGCGTCTAGGAGTCCACTTTGATGAATACTCAGGGGAATCACTTTATCGTGAAAAATCTCAAGAAGTCTTAAAATTGCTGGACAGTAAAGGACTCCTACAGAAAACAATGTACGATCAGGTTACTATACTTTAGTAAAGTTATTTGTTCTTCTTTGAAATTGCTATTGATGTCTTTTCTCAGTAAGGACGACAGAATGTGGTATGCAGCCTTCCTGGCATTTTTTATGGCACTTTTTGCTGTTCAAAGTACTTTCCCACATGCTGTCTCTTGCTGCCATAGCAAAATCCTGGTTTGGTTGGGAGAAAGGATGTCATCTGCTGTTTATACATGAGGAAACTGAAGCACAGAAAGTGTAAGTGACCTGCCTAAGGTCACACAGCTGATAATGGTATAACTGGTAAAAGGAAATAGAACTCACATCTTCTTACTCAGCCCTGCCTTTTTGAAAAATCCCATTCTGTTCAAAAAGGCAGCTTATGAAAATAACTATAATATGATAAGCTTTTGAAAGAGTAAAATGAAGAAATGAGGAAATATGAGGGGAAGAAAAAATAATATGAAGTCAGGGATGATGTTAGTGCACCATATAATAATGCACACGGGGATTCTGCTTCCTTGCTTGAGGTATATTTCTAATTTAGCTTTGAGCTTCCTGTCAGCCAACCAAACAGAGAAATAGTACCAGTCATAGGAGCCCAGGCATCTGTAATATAGAAGCAAACCAGTTGCTTAGAGCTGGCAGTTTTCATAGTACCGAAGAGCAATTTTTCTCATCATTCTTATAAGGAAGACATGGAGAATGTGGTAACATAACTTCCCCAATAATGTCCTTAAGGAAAATTTTTAGATCGCCATTTACAGATTCTAATTTTTGGTCAGGCAGGAAAGACAAGAACAGAATTCCGTGGTTTTACTGCTCAAGGGTACTTTCTAGCAAGTTAAAAATTAGTCCAATATTGAATGTTATAATAACTTGAATTAGAAGACAACTATATTTCATGGTTAGAGTGCAGTTGAAATCTCATTTTCCAAATGGGTATATTAAAGATTTTATCTAAGTACTTTATCTAGAGCTACAGATTTAAAAATATAGGATAACCAAATATTAATTACATCATACCCACTTTTAATACATTTAGGTTGTATTCCTTCTTGTTTTTCTTCATTGTTGGTTACACTGCCCATTGCTATTTAAATAATAAAAATATCTTCTGGTTTGCCAAAGATAATGTTATAGAGATTATACTTTTAAAGATCTTAATTTATTATATTGCTTCAGAGTTACTTCTTTGCATTTCCAGAAAAGGAACAGCTGTAGTGGATCTTTCTGGGAATGGTGACCCCTCCTCAATTTGTACTGTAATGCGAAGTGATGGGACTTCTCTCTATACAACCAGGTTTGTATCTTCTATGAAAGTCAACATTAGAATGTGTATATGACTTCATGTTCTTTGTTCTAGGATTAATGCTAAGACAATCATTTTATCCTCAAAACTGTTACCAAATCCTAATTTCTAAATCTCTTGTTCTTATCATTCAAAAATATTCTATTTAGTTTCTATTTTTTGCCAGTTATAGTTCCTGGAAAGGTTTAATATCATGAGAAAAGTGACTGGAAAACTGTTTACAATGAGTTAAACATCATAGAATTTCCACAGCTGAATACATTGTTCTACAACTATAAAATGGAGGTACCTCATAATCAACTAGAAGTATTTTACAATTGCACATTGGCAGGAAGCCTGTACTGGAAGGTGGCCATATTGGCTCAGTGGTGTCGTCACTCTGTAAAGACCATCTTAACATGGACATAAGTTCTAGACCTCATTCTGATTGTGGTAAGATAGGCCGAGGGAGAAGTAGGCCATATCGCTTATATTTTTTTATTTATCTCCATGACTGACACCTGTGGAAAGGAGCAGTCTCTATTAATCAGTAAGAGCTGATAAAATGTGTTTTATCAAACACATTTACTTCCGGGACAAAGCTAATAGGAAGAAGATGATAGGACAATAAAAAAGCCACACAAGTAAATGCGGCCATACGCAAGCACTGCTGGCAAACGGCTCTAGTGTCTCCCAGGCCAGAGTTTTAGATTAGATCAGAAACCACTTTTGTGGCACAAAATAATGGTGTTTTATTGTTGTTGTTAATTACTATCACTTGTTCCAAACAACTTTAAACAACCATCTGACTCTCTTACTGTCCCTTAGAAAATTAATCTCTTACTTTCTGTTACTCTTTGACATTTCTCTTTATCAATTCCATACCATTGGGGTTAGGAAGTGAGAAGAACCTATATATCTAAGGGGTACATTTCTTTTTCTAGATACAAAAAAAATCTACAGTAGAAAAATTTTTGTGCCAGCTTATCATTGCTGGACAGATTAAATAAAGAAACCCAGAGCTGGCCCCATGGCTTAGCAGTTAAGTGGCGCGCTCTGCTACTGGCGGCCTGGGTTCAGATCCCAGGCACGCACCGACGCACTGCTTCTCCGGCCATGCTGAGGCCGCATCCCACATACAGCAACTAGAAGCATGTGCAACTGTGACATACAACTATCTACTGGGGCTTTGGGGAGAAAAAGGGAAAAAAAAAAGGAGGAGGATTGGCAATAGATGTTAGCTCAGGGCCGGTCTTCCTCAGCAAAAAGAGGAGGATTGGCATGGATGTTAGCTCAGGGCTGATCTTCCTCACAAAAAAAAAAAAAAAGAAAAGAAACCCTGGAGCAGTGGTTATAAGAAGTGTGTCCACTCAGCATAGAGGCTCCCTGTCATAAAGAGTCTGTAACTATCCTGATGTGCTGTCTTTTTTGAGCTATCACTAGGTCTAGATTTTTCTGTGTATTTACTTTAACAACTATACTTTCTCTTTTTTCTTTGGGAGAATAATTGTCTTTTTGCCACTTGTTGGATTCTTCACCTTGCTTTAACTTTAGTTGTTTCTGCTCTTTCAGTGGGTTCCTTATAGAATGCGTCTATGTGTGTGGATGTGAATTAAAGGAGTTGTTAGAAAAGACAAAGAAAAGTGCAGGCGAATACTAATGAGCGCAGGGGGAGGCTGGAGACCTGGCTTTTTGTTCTGAGACCATGACCATCTCTTAACTTCTCTGGCCCATGGTTCTCTACTTGGTGAAATGAGAAACCTGAACTATTTGACCTGGCATTTCTTTGGCGTTCAAATTCAGGTTCTACAAATTCAACCTAGAACTTTTTCTTACATTCTTCTCTTTTATTCTTTCATTGGATCAAAAAGTTTCTCTTCTTTTTGTCCTTGCCTCAAAACAAAAAATATAATGGGGGGGAGGTATATTTATGACTTCATTTTGGGGATAATCTTCTATACCAGTGTTTCACAGTTTTTTTTATTATTATTATTATGCTGTCTCTCAGGAGCCAAAAAGGCTGAAAAAGCCATATTTTTGCTATTTGCCCACCCTCATGAAAATTTTAATATTAATTAAAATGATTTAATTTTAATGAGGTGGATACAAATGACATTTTGATGATGCTGAACATTTCAAAAGATCTAGGAACTTTTTAAATCCTCCCAGTGTCATGTATTGTTAACCAAAAATGGCTTTAATTTTAAACTTTGATATTTTCATAATATTGACTTGAAATTTCATAGTTTATGGTTTATTTTTCATTATTTCATACTACATACAAACTGAATATTTTATACTTAATCAGAGAGAAAAGAGAGAAGTGGAATTTTTGTCAAAGGACTTTATGGTCTTTTAAAATACCTTAGGAGGAATTGCTTATGACTGATCTAAGACTTGGAAAGTCCTTGATAGTATAGTACTAATAGAAGAGTAGCTAGAGGATACTCATTTAGCTACCACATCACCTATGTTTTAAATGTGTTCTTTAAGAGAGTATATTGCAGAAAAATGACAGATGATTCTTTCCAGTAGAGGCTTAATTAACAAATCATAAAATATTTACCTATAGACACTCTGCCCAGAACTATTTTAGTTATTATTACTACTTGTCCCAGAGCTTTATTTATTTTTGGTTTTATTGCTTTTCACAGCACTTTTATTGCTATTGCTTTTCCTGAAGCTATTTTTGTTATTACTTTGTATCAAAGCATGGTATTGGGATTATGTAAGCGTGGATAGTGAACCCCTAGCTGTGGGATAATAGTAGTTCTTAATTAGAAAAGCCTCATTACTATTAAATAGATAAAACAAATTATTACCCAGATCTGCTTAGTAACTCTTGATTTATGGCCATTTTTTTAGAGATCTTGCAGCTGCTATAGATCGAATGGACAAGTATAATTTTGATACAATGATTTATGTGGTAAGTAATCACAATAAAGAACAAAAGGTTATGATCCCTACCTCATGAAAACTGCAGAGAGAGAAATTGGATGCCATGCTGAAAAACTATGGAAAAATAATTTTGTCAAACTATAGAAAGAATTCAATGTTAAGTATATTTAAAGTGGTAACCACTATTAAAAAAAACACTTAAAAATGAAAAAGTTCACATTGCTTCATAATAAAAAAAAATTACCCAAATCAGGAATATGGCTATGTAAAATGAATGTGTACAGTCACTATAATGCACTTTTTAAAAAATAACTTATTTAAAATATTTTAGGACTCACAAGAATGTCACCGCCAAATAGGTGTCCTCTACTCGTCTCAGAGATAACCCAACAGTCCAGAGGCAAGGTGGTGGGAGAGAAAGGGTCTTTTATTATTATTACAGCCTGCTAGCAAGGGGGAAGATGGTGGACTAGTGTTCATAAATAACCATCTTAAAACTACAAACTTTTGAAACAGTTATATAGGGCAAATGGGCTGAAAGGGGGTGGTTTTGGAATGTGACCATCTGGTGTTGTAGTCCTTGAGACTACACCCCTTTTTTTTGTCACCGGTGATGGATACCAGCATAGGGGCTCCTCTCTGAAGGTCATTACATTCCTGGGAAAACTTAAAGACCAAAAAGTTACTGTCTTATCACAATAGGCAGGTTTCTGTGTAAACTAAGGCTGAGAAAGTAGCAGAGCATGCATATTGCTCACAAGCAGGTGTGGACTTATGCAGGCTACGTGTAAACTAAAGCATTGCAGATTCAACAAAGGGGTGCCTTGTGGATCAGGGTTATTTATAGCTCCAACATGGTTCCCTTCTACAAGATGGCTTCCCTTTCGCTAACTATGCTAACCTGTGACTACATATCTATCATAGCTATTTAAGCAGCTCTAACAAGTAGTTTGAAAATAGTACAGAGTTTCCTTCATTCAGCTTTCCCCAAGGATAGTATCTTACATAACCATAGTACTTTGTCAATACCAGGAAATTGACATTGGTAGAGACCTTATTTAAATTTCGCCAGTTTTTACATGCACTTGAGAGGCCATGGATGTTGGTATGTGCGGTCTTAGGAAATTTTATCACGTGTAGATTTGTGTAACCATCACCACATTCAGAATATAGAACTGTTCCATCACAAAACAAACACCATTGTGGCAACCACTTAATAGTCACACCTTCCCCCCAACCCTAACCCCTTGCAACCGCTGCTGTGATCTCAATCACTACAATTTTGTCACTTTGAGAATGTTATATAAATGAAATCATAGAGTAGGTAACCTTTTGAGATTGACTAGTTTCACTCAGCATAACAAATGCCCTTGAGATCCACCCAAGCTGTTTCGTGTATCAATAGTTTGTTCCTTTTATTGCTGAGTAGTATTCTGCTTTCCTTCCTTTCCATATGCAACCTTCTTTTCCCCTAAGAAAAAAAGTTGCCATTAAATATCTTTTTAGAGCTTAACTTTGGCCTTCTTGGAGATAAAGGTCATAGCAGCTGAGAGAGAAGGAATTTAAATAGAATAATCAGAAGATATGTTCGGATTTCCTCCTGACTCAGTGGAATGCTGCAGCTCTTATTTCCTCTTACAGAGTGCTCAGCTGAGACATTCTTCTAGTGCCGTCCTCTTTGTGTGTTTAAAATGTATCAATTGACAATAACTCTGGTCTGTCAAAACATGTTAATTTGATTCATGTCCAACCTATTTATGTATATTAACTTATCACTGTTCTTTTATTGTAAATACATTTTCTTCCCAAGACAGATAAAGGGCAAAAAAAGCATTTTCAACAAGTGTTCCAGATACTGCAGATCATGGGATATGACTGGGCGGAAAGGTAATGTCTGCATGGTTCTTAATTGCCTGCTCGGGATCATTAAAGCCTTGTTAGGTCTGCCAGTCCAAAAATGTACAAGTTGTTGAAGATTTTCATTCACATGTCACTTCTTTGTCTCAAGATGTTAGTGTAAAAAAGCAGATTTGTTTTTTGCATTAACTTATGTCCTGGTTATTTTAATTTCTAGCTTATAAACATTTAATAAATGTGTTATTAGACAGCTGCTCTCAGTGGCTTGATTTTCAAAATTCTTAATCACCACCTCTCATTTTTTTCATTAAGGCAACTAGTAATTTCATCATGTGCTAGTGATTATCTCTATAAAATGAAGCTGTGTTTAACATCTTTTGTAACATACAACAAAACACATTGTATTTCAACTTATTAATTTTTAAAATCCCCTGTAGGAGAGAAAAGTTATCTCTGAAAGGATATTATTATATATTTTGATTACCAGCTTCTTTTTAGTTTCCAGTTAACTAAATGCCCACTCCATTTCAGGTGCCGGCACGTGCCCTTTGGAGTAGTACAGGGAATGAAGACTCGAAGAGGAGATGTTACTTTTCTGGAAGATGTTTTAAATGAGATCCAATTAAGGATGCTACAGAACATGGCTTCTGTTAAGAGTGAATTCACTTTTTTGTTGTTACAGTCATAACTTATGTACCACTTTTATGTTTTGCTGGACTTTTGTGCAGTGTCATTTATTATGACCGTTCCTCCACTGAAATTTCACTAACCTTGTCAAAAGTAGTTTGCACGAATTAGAGGTGCCAAAATTTTTAGAGTTACTGCTCAGGTGTTGTTCAGTTCAATAATCTGAATTGGTATAACCCTGGGCCTCCATTCATGGACAGCTTCAGCACTGTCATTCCCTTGTTGGAGTGGTTGTGCAAAGCTCCTGCCTTATATAACTGGATACAAGTCACAAGTCCTTTTGGCTTTGTTTAACCTTCACCCTTGGAAAAATAAGAACCAGCTATGTCTAATGTCTTACAAGGGATATTGATAAGAAAAACAAATTTGTATTTCTTCCCCTTTAATGTTGGCAGGGGAAGTGTCATTATCAAAGGTAAATTAGCCTAAATTAGCAAAGTAAATTGCCCGCTGTGAACCTGTTTGTTCTTGACACTGTCAGCATATATGTTTGGCAGATTTTATCTCCACTTCAATCCCTGATTCTGTAGATTCACACAAGTTAAAGATAGTTGCCTTTGTCTGTTTCAGCAACTAAAGAACTCGAGAACCCACAGGAGACCGCAGAGAGGGTCGGGCTGGCAGCGCTCATCATTCAGGTCTGTTCATACTGCTTCCTATGAGCCCTTTTGTTCGGTACTAGAACAAACCCCAGCGCTGAAGCTTGACTCTGTCGTTTTAGGACTTCAAAGGTTTACTCTTATCTGACTATCAGTTCAGCTGGGATCGTGTTTTCCAGAGTCGTGGGGACACAGGAGTCTTCCTACAGTACACGCACGCCCGCCTCCACAGGTACAAGGAGGCTGCAGGGAAACGCTGGGCCCCGTGGGCCTTCCCCAAGGTGGGGCTTGGCTGGTGTGGTCCTAAGACCAAAGGCCCTGTTTTCTGGGCTTCTCCAACATCCATATTCAAAACTAGTTAAAGCACAGTGGACCTCCTGGTATGTTTGGTTTTTGTGGCATTTTAGAATATTTATTTATTGAGCGCCTATGTAAGAAATGCTTTTATGTATATTACCTCATTTAGTCCTCAGAATAACCCTGCCAAAGAATATACTCCATTTTCAGATGAAGAAACGATTTAGGAGAAATTGAGGCATCAGGTCAAACAATGTTAGCTTCAAAGTCTAGGGCTGTATTAGGGAGAGCAGGACTGTGTATATGACATGGTGTTCGTCACTTGCAATTATGTGTCCTTGGATGACTTGTTCAATCCTTTCTTGTTTTTAAACTTTTGGTAACAGTTTGGAAGAGACTTTTGGATGTGGTTATCTAAATGACTTCAACACTGCTTGTTTACAAGAGCCACAGTCTATTTCAATTCTCCAGCATCTTCTCAGGTATGATTTTCTAGTATTATCAAGTCAGCTTCTGCTTAGTGAAATGACTGTTGATAGTTTGTTGACCACTGGAGTGAACAGGCCTCCTTGTCTTCTGTCTCTGTGGACAGCATTTTCCTGAAGGTATGACCCAAAAGTGATTGTCTGCCCTTTGAGGGCAGACAGAGGGCATGCTCAAGGTCACTCCTCAGGTCTTAAAAATATCACTGCTGAATTAGCCCAGGTGCCTAACATCCTCTAGGTCATGGTATGAGAATGTAAAGCCTGGTAAAAGCATAACCTTTTAGTTTTGGAAAGGATCCACCTCTTACTCTCTGTGATAAGTGAAGAAAAATCCCTGCCTTTGTACAACTTCCCTAAGTCCTTCATTTGCTTCTTGGTTTCAGTTCACAGTCTCAAATACATATCTGTGTATGTGATGCCCCCACACTAGGCAAGAGACTACACCTTTGAGTTCTCACAAGCATTACTGGTGAAGCCAGACTCGTCAGGAGAGATTAGCCTCTGGAAGGGATGTGGGTGGTTAACAAGGCAATTTTCTCTGATTGCCACACAATGGTCAGTGGTTCTTTCCTGGGATCAGAAGGAATTCGTTTATTCACATTTGGCTAATTTGTGAGGAAAAATAAGCCAACCTGGTTTTCTTGCCACTGAGGGTAGACTGTATTTGCTAGTTTCTAGATTACATTCCTAAATACGGCTAGAGGCTTTTCACATTCAATTTAACAGCCATGATTTGAGTCTTTGCTATGGGCTCAGCCTAAGGGATATCAAGATGTTTTAGAAAGTAGCTGCCATCAAGGAATTTGTAAGAACGAAAAACATGCCTTTACCTTCAAAGGTACACAACGTCTTTTTTTCATATACCTTCTACCCTTAATGTTGTCAAGTCAACTTTACATCCTAGATCTTTGTCTTAACACCTTAGCTCAGTGTAATATGTGCAGTCTTCCCCTGCCAACTGCTCCTGTCATCTTTCTTTTAGGTTTGATGAGGTGCTTTATAGGTCATCTCAGGACCTTCAACCCAGGCACATTGTCAGTTACCTTCTAACTCTAAGGTACTTTATTATCCTGCTATTTCCAGGTGTTAAAAGACATTTGAGACCTGATCTGACAAATGACCTTTCATTCATCTAAAAGTTTGCTATAAACAAACCCCTTGGCCTAAAAAATTATGTGCTTTAAGTTACAGGAATTCTTGCTTCATGTTTGCAAATTGGCAATTAATGTTCATTCATTCCTTCAGTGATATAAGGTACGGTCACTACAGTCCAGTGAATGGGAAGCAACAGCTTCATCAAAGATGGTTACAGAACAGCACATATGTGTTATAATAGAGTGGACGTAAGAGACGACGTTAGGGCACTCAGCCCAGCCTGGAAGGATCAGAGAGAGCTTCTCAGAGGAAAGAAGTAGCTATTAATCAGGAGAAGCAAGGTGGCAGAGAAGGAGGGAAAAGCCCCAAGTTGAGCAAAAACATTATACTTTATAAAGGAACTACAAGCATAGTCCTGGGAGGGATGAGAAATGAAGCATATATAGGCCTTTTTGCCATGTACTAAGGCATTTTGACTTATTTTCAGGGCAGTGGCAACCACAGAAAGGTTTTAAGCAGAGGCACAGAAAAATCAGTCACCTAGAGGGTAGAGAATGAATTGGGAGGTGAGTCAGTGACACTGGGTGGAAATTTCATGGTAGCTGTTTTAGGAACTCTGATTAAGTTGAGTCTGTTCTTCAATAGCAACAACTGTATCTTCCCATAAAGCTAGTTAAGAAAGGAAATATTTGCTTTTACTTAAGGTTTACTGAAATCAGAGATTTGTTGGGACTGTTTTCCTGATTGTGCTTTTACCTTGTCTTCCCCAGATTTAAATAAGATTCTTTTTTCCTTTAAATTCCACTTAGACATGTAGAGTTGAAGAAGCCAGAAAGTCTTATTAAAGGTCACTTAATCATTGAAATGAATGTCATAAGCATCACTTCTCTGGCACACTGTTCTACTTACCATACCTAAAGAGAAAAGATGCTTTAAAGAAGAGTGGCCGTGTGGTGTGCAGAGTAAAGTGATAACTACCCCACCTCCTCACCGTAAGAGGGGGAAAGGCCAGGCTGTGTTATACCTTCCATCTTTGTAAAGGATGCCTAACTGAGGAAAACTAATTATGAGAAAGGAATCCTTTATACTTGTAAAACTGACAATGAAATCATAATCTTAAGAATTTGCCACCTGGTATTAGTAGAACCAGGACCAAAATCTAAAGCTCGAGTTTAGGGTGTTTTACTTTGCCTGTTATACCAAAGCAGTGAATTCCAGTCTCAGCTTTCCAACTTTGGATACATCCTTTAGTGGTTCTAGGCTTTGATTTCTTTGAGGGAGTAAGATCAGATATCAAGCTTATATGTTACAACAGGAAATTACTGCTGTTCTTAACCATGATTTCTCTCTTCCCGGGTCAGTCATCTTGCAGCTGTGGCACACAAAACACTGCACGTAAAAGACAGTCCTCCTGAAGTGGCCGGGGTAGGTTGGGTGTTTATTCTGTATCTCTCTCACATCCTCGGACTAATATTACTGACTCAGTCTTGTAAATGTTTCTAAAATAGCATCCTGTTCAACTACAGCAATGTACTTATAGACTCAGGTAATAATTAGAATTGGGCTATAACAATCAGTGTTTATGTACTTTCCAACATACTAGGCTCTGAAACACATTCTCCTGCATCAAGTGTTAGAATGATGAGTCCCCTTATCTGAGGCTGTACTATCTGATGACCCTGTCACTCCTACTCCCCAGTCTGTGGGTACCAGTCTTATTACAAGGGATGCTAGGAATTTGTCTTCCCTTGCCCACAGCAAACCCCAGGGCACTGCGATATTGTTGCTACTTTAATTATGTTAGAATTACTTTTAAAAACATTCTTATTTATTCACTTATAGTTAGCCTCTTGTTTAATTGAACATTTAATAATGCTTTGATTTATTTTGTAGGCCAGACTTCATCTTTTCAGAGCTGTCCGTTCTGTCCTAGCCAATGGAATGAAACTTCTCGGAATAACACCTGTATGTAGGATGTAATTTCTAATTAAAATGGCTTTTTAAATACTAAGTGAATTCTACTTATCTATTCTTATATACCTTGCTGTTTAGAATAGAATTTAAACTATTATTCTGTGACAGAATCTATATTTTATTAAATCTAAGTGATTTATCAAACTTTTTAAATCTTTACCCCTAAAAAAGAAATCTGAGTTCCCTCATGGTCAATAAGTACTAAATAGACTTTTGTAAAACTAAGTCAAATCTTTCAATATTCATTGTGGTCTAATGAGGGTAAAGGGTTAGAGTTTAAACTCTAGCTTGAGTTTTCTTACAATGTCATTCTTCCAGAAACTGTACTTATAACTGAGATTATCTAATGTTTTCATCAAATGAAATTGATGAGGAAAAAAAATCTCAATATTCTTATAATTATGGCTAGTTCTGAATAAATTTAGGGGGGCTGAAATCAAGCCTTTTTGCCAATACAGCTGACAACTACTTCCAGAGAACAGATCTTGTTGCTTATCTTTTTCGTTGATATAGATACAGGTAACTCTTACTATGTGCACTCAGGAACTGAGTACATTTGAATAGCAAGGAATTACTTTTACAAGTATTGTAGTAGTATCTTTTTGTAAAAATTAGTCCATTAGTTAAAACCATAATTTGAAATGGAGTTTCTTAAAGCGTTTCCTCCATGTATCTGCATATTGGTAAAGTATATCTTGTATGACTCTTTAGGTAACATGAGTCGGCTGTGATCTGTTTGATCAGTACAGCCCTTCTCATCTGCCAGCATTTCCATTCAGGTTTGCTAAAATGTGGCTACAAGAAGTCATCTGAATACCAATGACAATCTATTTTTACAAATAGAGAAGCAGATTAGCATGAACCAAAGCTTCTCTGGTTGAATGAACATAGCTTCATATTGGCAAGTATGGTAAACCTTCTTAGTCCTAGAAAAGACTCATCCATGCAGTCTCAATTTTAAGTGAATTAGTTTTCAGACTGCTGATTTTCTACTTAAACTATCGTTAAAATTTCCTTAGCATAAACCAGCCATGTAATAAAAATGTACAGTTGGGACATGTTTCGTGTGTCCAGTACCCCTCTCCACTTCTTTGGAGAAGTGTTCCCCTTCCCAAATCTGAGGTAGCTTCCTCAGTATTTGAATCTTGAGTGAAATGACACAGGGACAGTGAAGGGTAGAGCCAAGTCTTTCCAAAAGTAAAGTAACTCCCTGAACAGACTGTTCATTAATTCCTACAACCTAGAGCCCTACAGCCCTGACTGCAGTCCTTCTGATAAACTCTTTTTTTTTGCTTAAGGCGAGCTGGAGGTGGGTTATAGCTATCATTTGCAACCAAAGAAGCCTAGTTGATATAATTCCAACATAGGGAAAATTAAAAATTTAATGTTTTGGGTTTTTTGTTTATGTTTTTACATTACCTTAATGGTCATATCTACAGTGCTGAAAGTGAGCAAACAGATTTCATATAAATATATTAAGTTTATTGCTGAATTTCCCCATTAACATTCTATAGAAATTTTTTTAAAAACACTGAAATTTCACAAATTATTGAGAGCCTAACAGTTAAACATACTTTATAAAAAAAAGTACAAAAGTGACATTAGAAATATTTTTTGAAGAAAAGTATATCATCTAACAGCAAAGAAATATGAATCCAGACAATGACTGGCACAAATACAGCAGTTAAAGGAGTACTCAGTCACACCCAGAAATCACTGTCTGAGTTATAAAATAGATTCAGTTTGGGAAGTTACACATTCAGTTTGTTTCTGAACTATCCTGTCTTGTTTTGCCTCTCTTTTGTAAGAAAAGAGCTAGGTCTTTACTGATGCTGGGACAAAATACTATACATGAATTGGAGAACAAGGAGGGGTCGTCCTTCTCCCCTGGTACCTGAACAAGAGAACAGTTAGTACAGAAATGGCTTTGGCACTTTAACCCTTAACATTGTCCCAAACCTTGTGACTTTGACTATTGTAGCCTCACGTGATTTTTATTAACACGATATCCTCTCCATACTTTGTATGTACATTATATATACAATAATATAATTCCTTCATTCAAAAACAAAACAGGTTGACCCCAAACAGGTCATGTTAAATATTTGTAGCAATTCACTCAGACAGCTTTCTTCTTAATTCTTATGCCACTCAGCTAATTTGTTGTTTTTGTTTAAGCTACCTTCTGGCATTGACTTAAGGCTCTAGTTTAATGCAAATAGTTTAGTCTTAGTAGAAATCTCTTTTGAGGCTTGAAATCACACACCAACTCTCTCTTTAGAAGCTGTTTCTCCTTGTTGGATGGATGTAGTGTCTTGTCTGGGTAATCCATAGAGATATATAGAAACACATACGAGAAGAGCACCCAGAGCAAAGGTGAGTGCTGAAAAGAAAAAATAAAAAAAAAAGCTTAATCTGTATTTGTCTTTAAAACTATATAACAACGATCAACGTAAAATTTTGAAAACTTTTAACTGTACGTTTATATCTGATCTTATGGAAAATAAATCTAAATGTTCTATTTTTATGATATAAGGTTTAGAAAGGTTGTCAATTCTAGTCCCCCCTACCCCCTCAAAAAAAGTGGTAAAGTCAAGGGAGTGACAGTCACTGACTACACACTGTTCAAGAACACAAGTATGCTTGTCCTGGACCACTCTGACAAAGAACACACTACTATACACTGATTTTTTTAAGGCAGTGGAATGTGGCTTTTCCATGATACTAGAAACCTGTGAAAATTTAGAGTAAGAGGTAGTTGAGCAAAATTCAAAGAGATAAGTGACCAATGATTCAACCATTGAAGATTTCTGAATAGGAGATGAGGTGGTGATTTACTGAATAAAATCCAATTTTCTGCTAGCCTTGTCTTTTTTCCATCTTAATCCTGAAAATCAGGACACAACAAACTAAATTACAACTTGTCAAACTTGACAAGTAGGCATTATATAAATAAATGCTTATGTCAAAATCTCTTTCAAAACTGTATATCCTGTTCAAAACTACACCATATTCTATATGGAGGACAATGGCACAGTCTTAACAGCTTTAAAAATAGCGTGCAGAGAAATGACATCAAGCTGTGATCCTGACTAGAAAAGACCAGCTTTGCCTTCAGAGGGGAAGGAGGTAAATTAAATTTAAATAGGAAACTGGAAGATTGCTAAGACATTCTAATTAATTTCCCTGACCATCAGTAAGACAGAACATTGACCAAAAGCATTTTACACCGTTCCCAAATATTCCTTAGGAAGAAAAGCATAAGGATTTGTTGAGCATAAGGATGGACCAGAACTACAATTAAAAGTTCACCCTAGGGGGGCCAGCCCAGTGGCATAGTGGTTAAGTTCACATGCTCCACTTCGGCAGCCCTGGGTTCATGGGTTCGGATTCCAGGCATAGACTTACGCACTGCTTATCAAGCCATGCTGTGGCAGGCATCCCACATATAAAGTAGAGGTAGATGGGCACAAATGTTGGCCCAGGGCCAGACTTCCTCAGCAAAAGGAGGAGGATTGGCAACGGATGTTAGCTCAGGGCTAATCTTCCTTACCAAAAAAGGAAAAAAAGTTCACCCTAGGGCTGGCCCGGTGGCATAGTGGTTAAGTTCGGTGCGCTCTACTTCAGTGGCCTAGGTTCATGGGTTTAGATCCTGGGTGCAGACCTACACCACTTATCAGCCATGCTGTGGCGGCATCCCACATACAAAATAGAGAAAGGCTGGCACAGATATTAGCTCAGGGCTAATCTTCTTCAGCAAAAAAAGAGCAAGATTGGCAACGGAAAAAAAAAAGTTCACCCAAATCAGGTCAGAAAAACATCTAGAGGAGGGCCTATGAATACCTGACACTGAAATGGTACATGGTTGGTTTTATACAGAGTACTTACTCTGTGCCGGGCACTATTCTAAGCACTTCACCTGAAACAGCCCTAGGAAATAGGTGGTACTATCATTCCCATTTTACAGATGAAGAAACTGAGACATAGGTTAAATAACTTGCCCAAGACTGCGCAGCTAATCAATGGAACAGGCAAGATTTTAACCATACTATAAAATGGTTTTCTAAGATTTCTACAAGGTTGGCATTCCTCTATTTGCATTTATAACAAGGGTCAATTTTAAAATGAAATATAAATATAGGCCAGGTCTATTTCTTTTACTTAATATGGATATTTGACAGGTTTTCCTCAAGTATTAGTTTATGGTATAATTTATTGGTAAAGAAAATGATTATTAAGCACAAAAGCACCCTGAAATGTTCAGTCAACATCACTGCTTAAATAATTCAGAAGCCAACTTAATGCTGGATGTGGGCTAGGGGAAATTCTATTAGAAGGAATAATATAGGAGTGATGCCAGAATGCCAGCTATAGTAATGAATTTTGTATTAATTACATATTAAATGAAACAAAGATAAAAGAGAAAAGAAAATTTAGATTTGGATTGTAGTTTCAAAACCAATTCACACCCAACTCCAAAACAGAAGGTACAAACTAAGGGGGAAATGAAAGATGTTTTCTGCTCTTTCCTCAAAATAAAACTAGATAATTTACTCTAATTCTACTGCTGAAAGTCATCATTTCCTAAAGTCCTTATACTTATTTGTTTGCATACCTAATCCGGTATTCATCCTGAAGCGCTTAAGTTCTCGTGTGTCTAACACCTGGGGAATGGGAAGGCCTTGACTGCAAAAAAGCTCTTCCTAGTAACTGAGTAGCACCCTCACTTTCACTCAGAACCAGCACCCCTCAGCTTAAGCTCTAGGATCATTTAAACAACTTAAGTACTGCTGACCCACATACCACACAGCTATGAACTGCTTTCCTTGTAGAATAAATTGTAACAAAACTAGGAATTTCTGTTAACACTTAGAGCAACTGCCATATTTAATACAAGATAAAATGAATCAAGGACGCGAGAAGCTCTTCCATGTTCAAAACTTAACACTACAAACTAAGACATACTTATCTGTAATCCAAACAGCATCACTGAAGCAATGGTAGAAAGGACAATGGCGGCTGCTGCAGAAAAGCCCTTCATGATGTTGTCTGTGTACTTGACCACAACAGAAGTGTAGAGGCCTCCAACACTCGCAAGAACTTGTATACAGAAAGAAAGAAAATCTTAGCACCCAAATAAATGAAACATTCTATGATGGTGAGGCAGTTTTCATCCCCAGAGATGCCATACTAATTTACCTAGGAAATACTATTTTCCTTAGAAGCAGCCATCTGAGGGAGTTTGCACTAAAATTGAATAGTAGTTCCTACAAAACAACATTGTTTTTCAGAGGCCCAAAGGGCTATGTGGTCTACTACTAAATGGTACACATTTATTGCTAACACATTAGATGCTTTTGATTGTGAAGGCAAAAGTGCTTTGGGATAGCTATGCCACAAAACAAAGTCAATAAAACCAAAATTGCATTTTCAAACTGGTGTTCAGTGTCAAAGGAACAATTTCAAAATGCTATAAAGGCTTAAAACAGACATCTAACTTTAAAAAAAAGATCTACCCAGAACCTTTAATTCCTGGATACTTACAGATGACAAACCAGACATAATATGTGTAACCATAGAAAAATCCTTTTTCTTTAATTTCAGCTCCATCTGACAAGTAGACGCCAGCTAATGTCACAACAATCCCTGATAGATACATTTGAATGTTTCTCACCCAAAGGGAAGTGTCTGAACTCTTTAAAACTTTTTCAAAATATACTCCTGAAAGAAAATTAGACATGCAAATATGAAATAAAGATATTATTAGAAATTAATTTAAAATGTCTTTCATTTAGAACAATAACCTAGAGATACGATAATATAAAGTATATGATTTGGGGACCAAACATTTTACATTAATTAAATGCACATTTATTATATTGGTTTGACACATGGCATACTGAACATTACCAATTTGTATTTTTACAGAGCATATAGAATTAATAGCTAAGAGGGAACTTTCTAACCTGCATTTAACAAGAGATTCAAATTATTAAGAACAGCTTCTGCCTTTATTATAGCAGTGAGATAGATCACAAAAGCTCTCTGTTAATGCCAATAAAAGACTTGCTTTGGTCAGCTGGAAAACTATACTATTAGAGTCAATTATCTTAATCATACCCCTATAATATCTGCCTGGTAATGAATACTCCAACTTTGCAAAATAACCTGTATAATCACCACTTGGGATTTTTTTCAAAGTAACAAAACCAAAATAAAATTTAAATGGAACTTGCTGAGTGAAGCCATTTTTCTATAAAGCAGGGTTCCACAAGCCAAGTTCATAGACAATGTCAGAAGGACCATGATCTCCCTAACTAGCTAATACATTTTGTGTGTGTGCGCATTTTTCTGGGGTTGAGAGTCCATAGCTTTTTTCAGATACTCCAAAAGAGCAGATGACTGCCCCCCCACCGCCCCCAAAATCACATACCACTGCTGTAAGTTTTATACGTAAAATGAATGCATATTTCTAACAAGGACATTAAAGATCTTAGTTATAAATACCATGTTAATTAGAGACTTAGGAATTGCCACTAAAGTACTAATAAACTAAACATTCTAATGAAAAACAAGATTCTTTTTGATGAATTTTTGTTGAAAAGAGCCAGAGAATGGGAACAAACATACAACAGCTATTCCTATTTCCACCTTCGATTTTCCTATCTGGGAAAACCATTTAACTATTCAGTGCTTAGTTACTCCAGAGTTTCCTCAATTGTGTATTGAGACACTGAACTACACAGAATGTTGGACACATTTAATTGTTCAAAATAGTGCTAAAAATCAAATAGTATATTATTTTTTGGGTAACTCAATTTTTCTTTCTCATTTACTGGTTCCTAAAAATAAAAATTTAGCATGTTAAGTATCTTCCTATGTTTATATTTTCCCCTCTTATCAAACTTTTTTTTACAAGAAATATTTCACTTCTATATCCAGCCTACCTTCCTAGTAAAGAATAAAAACAGTCCTAACTCTTGAAACAGCACCAATAAAGATAAATAATAAATTCATATAGCTGTAACTAATATACTCTTGACTAAAAAGAACCTTCAGTTTCTTCTCTGTTGGCACTATTTCTAAAACACATTTCTTTTGTTTTTTTTTTTTTTTTTTT